GGATTGATCAAGTTCAAACTTCACACACACATGGTACATCATGTCACAAATAGATATGTGCATTTGTTTCATGATCTGCTTAACAATAGCGGAATGATGGCCATTTTAAGGCCGAAAATGCATCAAAATCACGTATTTTCACAATTCCAGAACCGGATCTCAGTCATGCATGGATGGATTTTGTTCAGATTTAGCAAAATGTGTTGTACATATGCAGGTGCATTTCGGTCATGATCTGCTTTGAATGTATATGTCACTCAAATATGAACGGAACGGGGACGTGTCATTGACAATGACTTGTTTATTCTCTATTCAGTCAGATTCAGACAATCATGTGCCAGTCAAACTCACAACATAATATCATAGTACTGTGGAATACTTTATTTTCGCTGGAATTAATTTTCGCTGAAAAGGCTTTTTGGGCGTTTTGCTTGGAATTTATTTTCACTGATTTTTCATGAGTTTAATGTGAAATATAGGGAAAAAAGTATATTCGCTGGATTTTATTTTCACGAAATCATCCCTTCAGCGAAAATAGCGAAAATAAATTCCAAGCGAAAATAAAGTATTCTACAGTATTCATAATATTTTATAGGCGTAACAATAATAAAGGACTAATAACAGGTTGAACTTTGCATTTCCAAGTGACTTACATCTCCAAAAATGTTTCTCTTTCCATAAGAGATCCTCCAACGACATGAATGAATGATGTTGTTTATGGAAAATGTCCCCTTTGTCTATTTTTCAAAAATGTTACACTGAAAGATATTGGTTTATATATAAAATGTCCTCTGTGAATGTCACTTATTCAAAGGCATCTCCCATCCATCTCTAAAATAATTTATTGGAAAACATCACTCATCTAATTTCGAAAATGTTGTTTTTCATCTGTACATACAGACACTGGGAATCCGCTCGCTTTAAAGTTGCTTTCTCACTTCCTTTCATACAGTCAGCAATGTCTCCTATGGGGCAGAGGGTCACTGACTAATACTGTAATAATTGCCTCAATTCTTTTATCTTTCTAGCTTTAATGTATGCCAGTATATTTGGTAATGTATCAGCCATCATACAAAGACTCTACTCTGGGACAGCTAGATATCATACTCAAATGCTAAGAGTTAAGGAATTTATTCGATTTCATCAAATTCCAAATCCACTACGGCAAAGATTAGAAGAATATTTTCAGCATGCATGGTCGTACACTAATGGAATAGATATGAATATGGTAAGTCAGATGATTTCTGTACAACTGTGAGTGTTCTTTTCAGCTGTTTACAAGATGGAGCTGTTTATATTACTAATTTGTTTTTTGGTGATATTTGGACTACGGCTACGTCTAAAATCCAGAAATGTTGTAGCTCAGCTCCACTGTCAGTCATGCTTGCGGAAATTGTTCATCACGAATTTTCAGCGGTCCAGTAGTGTGAAATTAATATTTATGTAACAAAAAAATGTATGTTTTTTGTCACATTTCTTACCATATTTTTCAACAATTTTGATCAAAACATACAACCAATGGGAAATTATGTACAGAATTAACGAAAGCATTAGAGAAAAATACATGAAAATGTTACACAAAAAGTTTAACCGAAAAAGTATGTGCTCAAATGGTTATGTTTGACTTGTAAATAATGTGCCCATTGCTGGAGATATTTGTACATATTCACAAATGCAATACCAATATCAGGGTGAAATTTAACATAATGTACTGTGATTTTTTTTTCGGACAAACTATCTAATAATTGTGATCCAAATTAGAATTTGTAAAATAAATGAATGTATGTACATGTTTTTATCATGACATATACCAGTAATCACATAACTTCATTTTTCGATGTGTTATAAAGCATCATAAAATTTCAGTATTCAAGATGTGGGAAACTTCTCTCATAATTTAATTGATCTATCCTGCCCTTATCAAAAAAATTCAATTGATAAATGAAAGATTGATTTTAGGAGAGTAAAAAAAAATAAAAATAAATCTTCCTTAATCTGACTGAATTTGTAACTGGTATAATGAGGTGAGAAGTTGAATGTACGCTTCAAGGTCTTGTCGGCATACATTCGCCATCTTACTTTATGCAAATAAAGAATAATTGTACATTACTTGAAAAAAAGTAAACATGCATTATTAATTATTTTGACATTGTGTGTCAGTAAATTAAACGTCTTCTGACTAATATAGGAGAAAATGTTGCCATAAATCCTTTATTCAGAACAAGCCTGGGTAATTTTATATTAATGTCACACAGTGTGCATTACTGGCTGACTTATTCATGTCGTTTTGGCGCTTGATTTCATTCAAACGGACTGACTGACTACTTGGTGACTATTTTATTTTATGTCATTTTTGTGTGTATCATAATCCAAGGCTCAGATTTTCTTTAATTAATTTACTAAAGTCGGTACAAAAGACAGGTAGATTAACACGTTGTTTTTGTTTTTTTAATCTGATCCAGTTTCACTCACTGGAAGCCTTAATTGTTTTTTAAAAGTATCTTTTACTGTTTTATGATTAACCTGGGCTTGCATATATATATTCAAAACATTGATATGAATATATTGAAGATCATTTCTGGTGGATTACTGACATTAGTCATTTTTGTAGCTAAGATAAGAGTTAATCACAAAGCTTATAACTTTTGGTGCAAATCTTGTATATTCATTAAAAATACAATTTAATTTACTTTGTCACTATGTATAGAATGTATTTAATTATTTATTCATGCTCGATTCAGACAAACACAACAAGTGTATTTATAACTTGGTGCGTGTATGGAAATGATTTTGCAAAGACGTTACAGCAGTACAAATCCTTGTGATTCACAACAAATCAGCGAAAAGTCACAGAAAAGTACGCAGTGGAGGTTCAAATTATCTTTATCATGTGCACCCGTTGTCCTCATTTGATTTGCTTCATGCGCTGATCAGATTCCATAATTACATTCAGTTCTATTTTCCAATAAGATCTTGTAAATGCTATTATCGGTAAACTTGGAAATAAAAATCAATTTCTATGCACAACCTGCCGTTTGGTACACTAGAGACTTCTCAGCAAGAAGGCAAGGCTGCACTATGTGTTATTAATACCTAATATTGTTCAATAATTATAATTATATTAATATTATCTTTTGAAAGCAACAATAATCTAATTTAGTTATTCTCCAGCATCACATTTTCGTTCTAGTTTAATATTTTATATTTACATATTTATGTTATTCCCAAAACAATACTGAGTGGTTTGCAGGTAAAATGAACTCGCTTTATGTAATTAAATTACACTAGTTTGACAATCAATCAGTCAGTCACTTATAGTCAATCACATTTTCTCAATTTGTTTCAATCATTCTGACCCCAATAGCTCATATCCCGAGTAGCCTATGTATAAACGCAGATACGCAACTTCTAGAACATGTTGTCATGCTCGTACATTTCATTATAATTAATATGTACTGTGGAATACTTTATTTTCGCTGGAATTAATTTTCGCTGAAAAGGCTTTTCGGACGTTTTGTATGGAATTTATTTTCACTGATTTCTGATGAGTTTAATGTGAAATATAGGAAAAAAAGTATATTTGTTGGATTTTATTTTCTCGGAATCATTCCTTCAGCGAAAATAGCAAAAATAAATTCCAAGCGAAAATAAAGTATCAATATGTATGTATTCAGGCTGAATGTCTGTAAGATGACAGGCAAAGAATTATCACAGGATTTACAAAAAGTCTATGCAAATTATATTTGAGAATGAATATACAATTGTTCATTTCACAGATGGGGAAGTCAGTGTCAGAAAATTGATTTGTTATACATACATGTTCTAACTTAATTTGTCTTTTTATAAAACTTACAAGTTTGTCTGATTTTTGGGAAATTTTATGATATTTTGTTGTTAGGAATTGGTGATTTTATGGAATTTTGCGACAAAATTTTGCGAAAGTCACAATTACTTCCAGTCACTGAACCCCAGAGAAACTTTCATTGCAACTAAATTTTGTGATTTTCATTGACTTGCAAAAACATTTATTTTTTTATTTATTATTAATTAATTAATTCAGATTTCAATTTCGTCTGTGGAACCAACCAAACCATCTTAATTCTTCACGTACCTTAAAATTATTTGTGTGTGGCACCCTCTCAGTTCATAAAAAGATTGTGCACTGTTTTAAATATATTTTTTTGCAAATTGACTGATTTGTTTTCTACTCTAATCTAATCTAACAGGTGCTGAAAGGATTTCCTGAATGTCTGCAAGCAGATATTTGTCTTCATCTAAATAGGAACTTACTAAATAACTGCCCCGCTTTCAAAGGGGCAAGTCCAGGTTGTCTTCGTGCGCTTTCAATGAAGTTTAAAACAACACATGCACCTCCAGGTGACACATTAGTACATCGCGGTGACGTTCTCACTGCTCTTTATTTTATATCAAGGGGTTCTATAGAAATTTTAAAAGATGACTTAGTAATGGCTATTTTAGGTGAGTATTATCATCATTAATACGCTGTTATAAGCATGCTTTTATTTGTTTTGCTCAGATTAGAAGTGTTTATTCTCCTTGTGAATGTAACAAGAAATTATTTTCGTTCTGATTCACAGCTCTAAAAGCAAAAATATTTTGTGTTGTTCCTTTTGTCAAATTTTTATGTTCTAGACTTTACTAACTTCCCCTATACCCAAACTCATATCTGAAGATATCTTGCATGCAAGGGTTAAAAAAAAAAAACTTGTCGTTCATTCTTCAAAAACTTATATAAAACTTGTTTAGTTTTGAGTAATTATTTTAAAATAAAAGTGTTTATTTTTTGGACACTTTCTGTCACATTTTGCAAAATAAACCAGATTAATTGTTGGCAGTTATTTAGTATGTCAGTCACAACTATAGTAACTCTGGAAATTAATTGTTACAAACTAGTATCCTTTTAGCGAAAATGTAGTATGTTGATAAACTCTCTATATGTAATGTTGCGCATTTTGCATTTATTTTTGTGGTTGTCCAAATAGGCAACCAGTTTTCATATTTGGTTATCAATAGACCATTTTCTGTTCACTGCGAGAATCATGCGTTATGGGTAAAATCAAATGTAAAAACAGGACAAACAAAGGTCATAGTGGCGTCAAACATCGCGTGGGATTCGACAAACTCAAAAGTATTTCGGGGACATTTCCATGCTTAATAATGTGCTGTACACATTTGATGATAGGCAATTTCGATTAAGTGAGGGTATTCGGAAGCAATATTCCTCTGTCAAAGATTAGCCGGTCGTTGTGAGCTACGTAATAAAGAAATTCAAGTTCAAAATCAAATCGTTTTATTTTTGCAGCAGACGTTCGATGTGCGTCTTTTATGCATCTCACGAGATCTCGCAGTTGAAGGGAAAATCACAAATTGTCAAAAGTGGTTTTCCAGGGAAACTACACTTTAAGACTAGCCAGGGACTTTCTATTACCACACATGTCAGAAATTTAAATGAATTAACCATTCATTTGCATTCTTAACTGACAACTTTTTAACTGCGTGTAGAGCTACTAATTTCAGTGTTCTATTATAACAGGAAAAGATGACGTGTTTGGCGAGAGGTTCTGTATTTATGAGACTGTGGGGAAATCTAAGTGCAATGTACGAGCTTTAACCTACTGTGATTTACATAAAATATTACGAGATGACTTACTTGAGGTACTCGATATGTATCCAGAATTTGCTGAGCATTTTACAAAAAACTTAGAAATCACCTTTGATCTAAGAGATGTGAGTATTCAGTTCATCTGTACTTTTACCATGAGATTAAATTGTTGTTCTCTTTAACTTATCTCAGTTCTTTTGACACCATGTACCAAACTGATTAAAAGGAAATTGTTTTTTTTCATGGTAGACCTGGTCATCAGGTCAGCAACCAATCAGAGCTCTTGTTACAGACACTTATATCTTAACCAATCAGAGCTCTTGTTACATACACTTATCTCCTAATCAATCAGACCATGTGTCATAGGCACTTTATCTGTTATATCTCTTTACCCAGTGGTTGTCAGAATATTGCTACTAGATCAAAGCATGGTGACCCTGCCCAATTTACTAACAATTACAAGTAAACATTGATTTTGATCATCATTCAGTAAAATTCAGCTTTCTTACAAGCAGATCTCCACAATTTTGGTGCAATTAATTACAATTATAAATTTTGATATTTTATATCTGGAAATAATTAAAATTTGATATTGAAAAATTAAAAATTGGTGTATTGATATCTATCTACCTTAATATGTTATAACTTGTAGGATGAGATGGCTCCTTTACCAGTAAGTGATTCGGAAGATGATGAAATCTCGTTCTCTGGGAGGAAAAAAAAAACAAGAAGATCAATGTATCGTAGGAATACACTAAAGAAAAAAGAGGGGCCGGGTAAGTTACCCCTTGACATACATTCATGTGAATGCCAAAATTACACCTGCATAATACTGTTGACCACTTCAATTATACAAGAAAACATTTTTTGTGAAGTTTGTCGGTGAAAATCAACACATTTTGTAGCAGTCATAATTTTTTTTTGGGTCCTACATGTAGGTATGTCACAAAGTGTCATTGACTTTCACTGAATTTATCAAATTGCAAAAATATCTAGAAATGAAAATTGAGCAGTTTATTAGTAGTTTCTCAATTTTTTTTAAATTTTGATTGAAATTATGTCCATTTCGTATCGAAAAATACATAAAAATGCTCAAAAAGTTGCACCAAACTTTTGACGTCAATTTTCATTTTAACTATAGACATACCTTTGTAATTTACATATTAAGCATTGGCGCAAATATTAGAGCAAATATGGTATTTAGATTGGTTTTGAATAATCCTTATTTTCAATTACTGGATTATTTTCACTGACAATTAATTTCACTATTTTGATATTTTGAGCTTATTCACTGGGTTTTCAGTTAATAAATTGGGCAGTGATCTACTGTAAGTAATTTTACATGTTCACATGGATTCAATTCAGCAGATTATACCTCAGCAACAATAGCGAAATTAAAACCCAGTGAAAAATTTGTACATTTACACAGTATATTTTATTCACTCATTCTAACAGAGGAAAAGAAAAGAAAAAGTGACACAGGGCCAGTGCGAAGAATAAACAGTGAAGTCAACCGTACCATGGCGTTAGATTCTGGTGAGGATGTGGAAAGTGGTACCGGAATATTAGAATTTTCACCAGAGATGGCAGGAAGAGATGTGACCCCAGCACCAGAGTTCTTGACACGCCGACATTTCCACCAACAACACCAGCAGCAAATACAACAGCAAGAACTACGTGACAAACATAAATCGGGTGCTTTTCAAGCCATAGCAGGTAGCTTTGCTCACAGATCCAGCAGTCAGGATGGTAAGAGGGATTTTAACATGTACTTCCTTGCAGCAAGCATCAGTAACTGCCTTACTATTGTAAATAATATTAACTTGCATGGAGTCATGTAGCCAGACCAAAACACTCTGTATACTATTTTGTGTGTTTCATTGTATCATTATCATCGTATTAGATATTCTGATCTTTTTATATCATATCCATTTCATCTTTAAAGATGCATTTCCTGCACAAATTATGTGGCATGGGAATGGAACTTATTCTTATCCTTGCTTTAGTGTTCTTTAACTTGATTTTAACTCAGTGATGCATTTTGCAATGCATGACTGTCACATATGATGCATACGATTAGTGCTTATCTCATTTCATTGTCATCAATGTTGCATACCTCAAGCCACACACATCATACCTCAAGTCACATACATCATACCTCAAGTCACACACATCATACCTCAAGTCACATACATCATACCTCAAGTCACATACATCATACCTCAAGTCACACACATCATACCTCAAGTCACACACATCATACCTCAAGTCTCACACATTATACCTCAAGTCACACACATCATACCTCAAGTCATACACATCATACCTCAAGTCACATACATCATACCTCAAGCCACACACATCATACCTCAAGTCACACACATCATACCTCAAGTCACACATCATATCTCAAGCCACACACATCATACCTCAAGTCATACACATCAT